CCCATCTCCATTGTCCCGAATCTAAAACAGAGGATATTTTATACCTTCACGTTTCCTTTGGATTTTGAAAATCACTCATTGCAACTAGTAGGTCCACTCTTACAGAGCCCCACTTGTAAGGGAGCCGAGAATATAATGGGTTGCCCCCTGGTACCCTAAGGTTGAGACCAGTAGATGCGTCTTCTATCTAGCCAGGCATCCCTTTGACCTGGTCCCACCATCGTAGGTTTTAGGTTTTTGGTGAGGGGTTTTTGGTGAGGTATCTCCTCCTGGTCCGAGCGATTAACCCAAGACCACACCCTCTGCCCGTGAAACATAACCACAGCCAGTAGGAGGTTCCTGGTGTGAGGGACATGGTAGTCCCATCCGGCATCGTGGTACGTTCAGGCAATTTCTTGGCCACGACACTATACAGTCGGGGACAAGACAATGAGATGCTATTTTTTAACTTTATCGTTATATATTGGACAATTCACACAATATCTTTATAAAGTATAGCCTATACAGGGTCCGGCAATAGTGCCCCGGGCATCTCTAGCCCTAAAATAGTGCAAAAACTTGAAATTTTGATTATGCAAACCTAAAATATACTCAGGATGTATTTCAGGAAAATATTTAACTTCTACAGGGTGGCTCAAAAAAGTGTGAGGGATCGGGATGATTTTAAATAGAAACACACTGTATATAATTTCATTTTGGCTTCCTTTCTGCATCACTTTACATAATCCTTAATACATGAATAAATATATTTCTTAAAAAATTATTAATAGTACAAGAACTGTTCTGAAATGAAAACTATATTAGATACTTACTAGATAGGTCTGTACTTACTTTCTAAGGTAAATATGGAATCGTAAATCATACAGAATGTTCAATATTCTACGCTGAAACTTTCAAAATATAAAATATTTTTCCTCGTTTTTTAAATAGCTGCATGTACAATATTTTTCAATAGATGGAGAATTTGAACAACAACACTGTACTAGAGTACGCACTTTAACGGTTTCGCAGATATTCCCGGTTTTATATTTCATATGGTGGCATTTTCCACAGTAAATTCTTATCAAAGCCAACCAATGATTTTTCTCTAGTATTTTATCGTTGAAAGCGCCATATGTAATAATGCTGCGTGTATCCGCAAAACTAAATACAAAAAGTGTTTTTTTTTTTATTTTTAATTCTCCATCTAATAAAAAATACAATACAAAAAAAAAAAAAAAAAACGAAGAAAAATTATTTTATATTTTAGAAAGTTTGGCGTAGAATATTGAACATCCTATGATTTAAGATTACAAAATTTATAGCAAAGTAAGAAATATAACATCTGAAGCAAATACCTATTATAGTTTTGACGGCAACAGTTCCCATTTTAATAATTTTTAAGAAGGGCTGAAAAATATATATTTTGATTTATTTTAATATCTCGAACCATCGAAATAGATTTACTCATACCTTAGGATTATGTAAAGTGATCATATAAAGGAATCCAAAAATGCAAAAAAAAAAAAAAAAAAAATCATTTAAAAAAATCTCATCCAAATCCACTCACACTTTTTTGAGCCAGACTATAGAAGCATAAAATATTTTCGAAATATCTCCTGGTACATACTCTTTAGGTTTGCACTTAAACAGAATTCTAAAGTTTTTTTATTCTAGGATTACAGAGGCCCGACGCACTATTTTGCCACCTCTGTTGCGATATTTCCTTGATGTACAAGCCATATTATTGTAAAGTTTCATTAAAATCCATTCAGCAGTTTTTGCGTCAAAAAGTAACAAACATCCATTGCATACATACAAACATCAAACTTTCGCGTTTATAATATTAATAGGATATCTCATATAATAATGGTCGCGTTCATCAAGACAAGTTGATCAGTGAGCAATGTGTCATCGATTGGTTGTCCTGCTGAACGCACTTTTTAGCATCCCTTAGACAAGGAACTCTCTTTCCCTGTCTAAGGTCTACAACCGCGCTACGCATATAGTCTAAGTCATATTAAATAATCTAAGTCAAAGTACAGCTTAAATTGTTTTCACTCTTTTTTGGCACAAATCGAGGGGATTAGTCAACTGAGAACAATAAACAAAATGGTTTGTTTTCGTTTTCCAAAACATTTTGTGACATTTGGCGTATGTGACGTTTAATCCATCATGCATCGCTAGCGTAGCGTATTTTAAATCTGATAGAAAAAATGGCGACTGATCCAAGAGCGCTCACAACTAATCAGCGCGTTCAGCAGAAAATCAGTGATCGCTGCGGTAGCGCTACGTCCTGATGAACGCGACCAATGATGCACTGATCAGTGATCACTGCTATTTATCAAGAAATTAATGAAAAAATCGCAATAAAACAAACAATAAACGCATGACGGTTAAATAAAAATGTTTTTGATTTGGTTTGAATAAAATTAAAATAAATAAACAATAATTCATTTATTTTCTGAAACTGATTAGTATCTACAAAGCCAACAATTTATTTCTTCCTAAACTTTGTACCCTTACTCTTTTTGTCAGTTAAAAACTATAGTAAATAAGTATACACTTTTGAAAAATACCAGATAATACTATAAATACCCAACTGAGACAATAATAATTTCAAATATAAATTTGCGGCAAATATAAATAAATATATACGCCTATCTTTTAAATGAAATTGATGGTACTAATAACAACACAACTAAATATATACCTACTTATGCGATATATAAATACTATACACACTATAATTATTATAATGTTAAAAAATAACTATACCTACTGATTGTCATTCTGTGTGAATAATGCCTTAGCTAGCTTGAACAGATTGTTTGTCAGTATACCATTTCCACTCAGAATAAGTGGAGGTATATGGACTATGTTTCTAAATTCTTTCACATCACAACACCAAACATAACCACCAGATCTACTCTTCCAAGCGGAATTCCTATATCCAGCAGTTGTACAAATATCTGTACAGAAATTATTGGAAATCTCTGTAAATGGATCATTTTTAATCACAAAGGCGATTCCTTTTCTACTCTTCGGATCGTAAGCAATTTTCCAAAAATATTTTGGGACTGGTAATATCTCGTTTAATGCAAGATAAATTCTCGTTTCAATTCTATGATTGTTCTCGTATGTTAGGATATCGTGTGTTCCTGTATATACTGTTAAATCACCGTAAGTCCGTGACAATGTTCGTACAACAGATTCTACGCTTTTCCAATTTCCGTTATTGATAGTTTGCCTAAAACAATAGTTGAAATTTAATTTGGTTTATTTAAAAAACATAATTTCACTTAACATCAAATAATTTTATTAACAATTCTGACCAAGCAATTAAATAAATAATATCTGAACTACATATTATTATGGTCAAAAATGCAGCACCATTTACGAAATTTTTTACATATCTTTCGTGAATAACTTGAGTTATGCACTGTGAAAGTTTTAACAAAACTGGTATGCACGAACATTGTTAGAAACCCTAGATCATATACTTACGTGGATAAACCAACGCCATAAGTTTAGCGGCATGCCATTTTCAAACCTTTCTTTATTCGTAACTTATGAAACGTTCAATAGGTTTGTCTCTTCTTCGAGGACCTTACTTTGGAGCATGAGTATTAACAGTTGCATGTATTTCCACACCACTTTTATACGGTTTGTGCTACTAAATTCTACATTGCTGTCCAACTCTTCATTGTCATCATATTGTCATAATCTATGGTCATAATCATATGTCATAATCTTATTTCCATTGTATAACGACGCTTGTTTTTTGCGTTTTTCAATTTAAAAATTGTATTAATTACTCTTTTATCGACCGCTTTTATATAGCCAAGGATGCAAGTGTGCTCAGTGAGAGGTTAAGTTTGTGCAATTATACTTTATTTTTTTGTTGACTTTCTAAATACTCATGAAAATAACTAGAAAGTGTTTAGTGAGTGAAAGTTCTAATGGCAAATGTCCCGAAATTATTTCTTTTCATAGGCAAATTTTTCAGTTGTTCCTTTATTTATACCGCATTAAAAGCACACTTTCTGGTTAGATTTTCTAAGAATATTGATATTCGTAGGAAGCGGCTAAATGTATTTTTATATAATTCTAATTTTTGTGACATTAAACATTCAATTCTATTGTTCAAACATAAGCATTTTACAAATTAAATTTTAAAATTAATGTTCAAATTTGGCGCCCGGACGATAGGTCCTGAGCAGTTGAGTAGAAGCACCGCGCAACAAAAAAAAAGATAAAATGGGAAGTCGTTGATATGTTGGCAACAGTTTCCGTAGTGATTTACTTATCCACATCCACGTAGACTGAAACTTCGGCAGCATATTCGCAGATAAAAATAAGTAAAAAATGTTTTTTTTTTTATTATATTTTTATATCGATATATTTCTTGATATACAGTGTGTAGAAGTTCCATTTTATTTCGATTTTTCCAACACTTGCAGTAACGTCAATATCGTCTGGAGCGATGAGAATTAGCCTTTGATGTCGTACGACTCCAGGTAGAGGGCGCCACGTATTACATTTTTTAACTGGTTTGAAGAGTATCATATCGTCCGTACCTGTATAAACTATTGAGTAATGAAAATATACATTTGCAACGCTTTTTACGTAAAAAAATGCTTTTCTAAATATGCTAAATTTTTGGTTCTTGAGATATTTGAATCGAAATATCATCATTCCGTCATCACTCGACATAAATTAAACATGTTGACTAAATAGTTACTAGACTGAGATCATAAATTTGAAATGTTTTTGCACCAAATGTTCAACAAAAACTGTTTTATCATCATTTGCAGAAAAAAATAAAAATTTTTCCAAATTCTATTATTTCCAGTGAAATAACTATCTACTAAACGTGTTTATTTTTCGTCATTAATGGTATGTGGTATTGACTATTTCCATTCTAAATATCTTGGAGAACGGTTGCTCGTAGCGATTTTTACAAAGATATATTTTTACGTAAAATACACACAGAGATGTATATTTTTCTACTCAATATCTAATTTTTAATTTTTATACAGGTACGGGCAAAAAGTTATTAAACTTCAAAAACAGTTAGAACAGATGTGTAGGTGGCGCCCTCTACCAGTAGGAGCCATATTGACATCAAAATCAAATTTCATGTCAAAAACTCCCCAGACACCAGTTTTCATTCAAATATTGTTGTTACTTCAGAAATTATTTAGAAAAAAAAAATCTAAATAAAAAAAAAAAAAAAATTTCTACACCCTGTATCTCCGAAATCCATTTTAGGACATACATTTATACGAACTTTTACTTATTTATCTACAGAATACGCCGAAGTTTCCGAAATACAATTCGAACCACCCAGCATATATTCTAGGGTTAGAACACGGATATAGTTTCTACAGATAGACAAAAAAACTTGTACTTATATATAGTTTATATACATTTAGGGTAACCTGAGTAATGGAAAGGCAGATAAAATGGCCAAATAAATCTATCAATTCTATTCGTCACACCAGAAGTCTTTTATGGTGCTGCAAACATAATAAACATGTGTGTGCCAAACAACCTTGTAACAAACAACAACTGGTAAGAAAGACGAAAAGTTATGGCAGATTTGATAAGCAAAGACTGGAAAATTGTCAAAAAGATAGTTGGTTTACTTTTTTACATGACAAGATCATATAAATCTGATGGTATAGGCAGACGAAGTCATGTGCAGATTCTGTCGGTTAGAGAAATAGCAGTACACAGTCATACAAAAATCACTGCTTTTGCATCTAGTGCAAAGAACAGTGATTTTATGGTTCAAGATCCTCTTCATGGTGTACCGTAGTTAACGCTTAAAATCTGGCACAATTAATTAGCCATTCCGTCGCGGTCTGTCATTCTGTATTTGGCAAATGTAAATGCCTTTCTAAATTATTGACTGACATTGACGTCGATGTTGTGACCCTGCAGGAAACTCACATGGATAAATATGTTCATCTCATTACATCGGATACCTATACCACCGAACCTATGGATTAGCCACATACGTTAACAACTCTATAAAGAATGCCTCACTATTATCATCTGACTGCATTGGCAACATCCATAGGATTGTCGTCAATATTCACTCTCTTACCATAACCACCAGTGTATATAATCCACCAAGTATGACATGGCTAGCGGCAGCTCGACTCGTACCGACAAAAATCACCCTGCTGTGTACATTGGCGGTTTCAACAGTGGCACAGCATGGGTCCTCAATAGTGATGACGAGGCTGGAATCGAAATAACTAACTGGGTAAAAGATAATAATCTTTATCTTGTTCGCGATGCTAAGCAACCGGGCACAGTCTGATCCGCTGTATAGCGCAAAGACTCCAATTCTAACCTTTATTATTTTACGAGGAAAACAGGAAATGTCCCCTTGCTTCAGAAAGACAGGTCCTGGCTGAATTCATAGCTAACACAGACCAGGACTAGTTACAATAGGTATCCAAGATGGAATTTTAACAAAGCCGATTGCGAGAAATTTCTACAAATACTAAATAAAACTCTGCACTGGGTCCCCCGAAGCAGCACAATTACAGCCGATTCTGTAAAGCAATCATCCATAATGAAGATCTAGAACTCGCGGATGAAATTCTGTGAAGTTTTCATACTAATCGACGAGAGAGATGGTCTCAAACTGTTGTCAATGTGGACTTTAAACACTCCAGCAGGAAAGCCTAGAGCCTTTTAAGAAAACTTGGTTCAAATACACCAGTGGGAGCCGACCCTGTAGTCACGCCGGACCAGATAGACCATCCCATTCACACAAATTATTTGATAATAATTGAATAGCTATCAAAAAAGAGCTAACCCAGCTAGAAAAAATATCACTCAAGAATCTGCCCAAACCTTCTCTGTAATCAACTTCCTCTCCCATACAATCTAAAAATCTAAAAAGACGACATAGGAACTGAGTATGTGTGAAAATATATTCACAAGCCAATCTATTTTGTATGTCGGAAGTAAAATAATACACATTTTTACTTACCATTGCGGGGCCACGTTGATATAAAAATAGGTAGAGTACTGTGAACTTGCAAGTAGAAAATCCGCTTGGGGTGTTAAATGTCCACGGGCAAGAAACGAATTTTCGTTGATGTAATGTCCTGCGAGAATAGACGAATTCAATAGTTTGCTAAACATCGATTTTTGTGCCACTTTTTTGTAAGACAGAGATGCTGGAATGCTAACATTTAGACCATCTGTACTGAAGTCAGGTCGTAAAGAGAAAGAAGAATCTAAAATAGAAGCATCAATCAATTATTGTTAAAACAAAAATAGTAATTGTTTCCATACTACACTATAAAAATGAGGATGCTGAGCTGACCACGAGGGTTCCATACCGTTTTTTTTCTTTGTCATAAATAAAATACTATATACATACATCATACAAATAATTAATAATCTCTTTAAGAATGTGCCCTTTCATAGGATACCCTACATGACACGATTAACTCAATTCAAACTTTGGAACGCCGCCGTTCCTTGCATCAAGATCCAGATTTTTTTGTGATTTAATTGAAACATATTCACATATTACTTAGATGTCCCTTTCAGTGCACCAGGCTTGGAAAATGTACAAAAAGATTTGGTCACCTATACAATAATTATAAACCCAAAATGCTGATTAAACTTCGATTATTGACACAGTAAACTTGAAGCTAAGACTATATTTTGCCTTTAATTACAAATGTATCCTTTTCAAATTTTCCTATACTTCTAGTATATTTGCAATACTTGACAAATTTAGTTCTAGGAAAATCCAACGGAAAATACCCTATGAATTTCGATTCTATAGCCTGTTATACACAGCCATTATTAGCTTTACTATGAGAGGGAAGACAACAAAGTAATCCTATAAGTATTAATAAATTCTGTATATGGGTTCTGTTTTTCACTTTGAGGTAATGAACCCCAAAAACATGCTTTCTTTAGTGATCATATTGTACATAATAGCTGCTAAAATGACATAAAGCATAATGAAAGACTAAAGAAGTAAAACATCATAGAACAAAACAGATAAATAAACATTTAAAATATTTATGTCTCGTAGCTCAAAATATCATATTAATAAATATTTTTATCACATTACAGGTTCCGCAATGAGGGTCCGGCAATAGGAAGCTCCTAGAATAAAAAAAAAAAAAACTTGAGAATTTTGTTTAAGTGCAAAACCAAAGGCAAACGGCATGTAAGTCTAAAAATATTTAAACTTCCTATATAAACAAAGCGGGTGACCTATAATTCTTTTTAAATGAACACCCTATATATTGCATTTTTGGCTTCCCAGATCACTCTTACATAATCCTAAGATATGAGTAAATCTATTTCAATAGTTTCAGAGATAAAAATAAACTAAAAAATATATATTTTCAACCTCTACTTAAAAAAAAAAATACAAAAATACAAGAACACCTGGAATCAAACCATGTTGACATTTACTTTTAAATGTTTCCCTTCACTGCTACAAATTATAGTACTAGTAAAATCCTGCTACAGGATGTTCAATATTTTGCGCCAAACTTTCAAAAATATAAAACAATTTAAAAAAAAAATTTTTTAATGGAACACCCCTGCATTATTTTACTGACAAGAACAAAACAACATTTTTTTATATCAAAAGAGCCAAATTCTAATAGTTTTCCTTTATACCACATTTCACATGGCGCTTCAATGGAAACATGAGAGAAAAATCATTAAGGCCTGATAAAATTTATATTTTAAAAACATGAAATGTTCCAGAATATCTGCGGAACTATTAAAAATTTTGAAATACTCTAAATACAAATGTTCATATTTGTTAATTCTCCATCTATTGAAAAACAATATACGGCTTTAAAAACGAGAAAAATATTTTATATTTTGCTTTATGTAGAATATTTGAACATTCTGTATGATTTCACATCAACATTTATGGCAAAGCATTATGACTATCTAAAAGTAAATATCTAATATAATTTTCTATCAAATTTTGGGTCAAAAATGCAATAATAATATACAGGGTGTTTGTTCCATTAAAAAAAAATCATCCCGATCCTCCAACACATTTTTTCACCCGGCAAAGAAAACATTTTCCTGTTCATCCCTAGTACATACTCTAGGTTTGCACTTAAACAAATTCCTGCTTTTATTTAGGAGCTACAGCTGCCCGACGCACGCATTAAGCCGGACCCTCGCAGTATTATATTATATATAATAAAAAAAAAAAAAAAAAAAAAAAACAAACATAAATAAATAAAACAAACATCCAAGTATTAACTGACCAACATACCTAAAAACATTGAGAAAATTAATTAATCTTTATTATATGTGGTACAATGTCATTCGGTTCGATTGATTATACAAAACGGGAAGAACAAATTCTTATATATGTGGGGAAGCAAATTTGCATAATTTAAATTAGAGCTTTTGAAATGAACAGGGTTTCGGCAACTCAATATCCATAATATCAAAGCTATTCTTTTTTCTGCACACCGTATTTCATTCTTATTTTGATTTCTTCTTGGATCCTATAAAGAAAATTTATTATATGCTTAAATGCCAAAACCCTTATATTCTAACATAATTTTTTCAACTAATTTTCATTAAACGTAACCATGGCTTTATACTAAAGTTAAGCATGGCAATTTTCTAGCATGTTTCTTATTTTCTAAATCGACATTATAAGGCTTAAGACCCTGGCTCAAATCTTCTTGACCACCTTTACTTTGAATTTACCTGCAACAATTTTTCTAAGAAAAATGAAGCAGCATCTGCCATGGAAGTAGTCATGGGTATTAGTGATTTTATTTGTGAAAAAATTGTCTGGAATGGTTTATGTTATGTTAAGATATCCAAATAGAAATTTTCTTGATGTCTGCTGAAAACCATTTTCCTATTTCCTGCAGAACTGATGTGTGGTATATGAAAAACCCATTAGGCAGAAACGTGTTGTTGGAAGTGAAGAAAACCAATGGTCTGTCTGGCTCTTTCATGGTGAAAATCAAACATATCTGTCAACCTTACATATACACCTTAAAAGTTCCTAATATGGCCGACCTTAGTTACCGAAAATTTGCAAATTTTTTTTTTTAATGAAATATAAGTTGGCGTTAGCGATTTCAGAAATTGATTTACTTTTTGGTTAACAACAACATTTTTCAGGATAGTCAAGTTGACGTTAAAGTTAGATTACTAGGTGGTTGTCATAAATCATAAAAAAAACATAGGATGGATGGAAATCATTTAATAAGAACAAAGGCATTTTACCGCAGATCCGAAGAGATTTTACTTAAAGGTATTTTATTTTTGTTTTTAACTTTTTGTGGTACCTTCTATATTTTAGTTAAAGGGCGTAAGAACTGTAGAAAGTGAATTTTTGTTTCTCATGTTTGGATTTATATCTGAGAGTTCTTAGAATTATCAAGATTACTGAATAAATGAGAAGGTTTAAAAGTGAATTTAATAGAAGACTTGGAATAGGATGATGCGTTTCATGTTGTAGTTGATAGATCAATTCCCATTTCTGAATTTGTTTTTATTTCAGTACAGTTAATCACAAATTGAATTGAAGTGTGCAAAAACAGCTACCTATATATTTTCAAACATCTTATTTAAATAGTTCTTTATATACTGTTAAACTGTATCAACTACAAAGTCTTTAATAAACAGTTATAAGGTAATAAATTTTGTAGATATAAATTTAATTTATGAAAAATTTATATATAATAAAAAAAAAAAAAAAAAAAAAAAAAAAAAAAAAAAAAAAAAACAAAAATATACTTTATTAAAAAATAACAAATACATACAAAAACAGCCACCAAACCGTAATAATCAGAACATTATCCACATTATAGCAATCTTTTATTAAATTTGTGTCACACTCCTGTCAGGTTAAACGTTACAACCTGCTGGGTTTAAATCGTACTAAATTTTATACCTAGTAAATGATGCGTCAAGTAACAAGTATAGGATAAAAAGAATTATTAATATAGAGAGTACTATACGATGTCCTTCTGCTTATTTATGAAATGATTTTTTTTTATTTGATATGAACTTTACTTATACAGTAAATAAAACATAATTTTTGGTTTCCAGGTTTTGACATTCTAACTACATCTATTAAAAACCTTAAGTGCTTTTAAAAAAACGATATTTTAAATAGTTTTTATTATTCTTTGTGTATCCTGTAAAGTAAAAAATATATATATTTCAAGAAATATAAAAACAATGCAATATACATATTATCTATTTCAAGTGTTATTTGATCTTTGGTCCCATTACCAACATTATCTTTATTACGTTATTATTAGTAGATCGTCCCTACTAACTCAATTCTAAACCGTTTTATATTTCAAAACTGATTTACAACAATCTGTAATGCCCGCGCTGTTTCCTGAAATGTAAGTTTGACCGGTCAGACATCATATACATATTATTACAAACCTGAAAAATACTGATACGAGGAAACTTCTCCAAATAATTAGAGACCTTTTACAAACATCTGGACTAAAATATTTTCAAGGAATTTCGTGGACGAGCTATCATTAATGCTTTAAACGTTTTACACATTATTTGAATATCTTCCAGCCTATTCCTCATTTCTCGATCGGTGAAAAGATTATTTATAACTATATAATTTAAAATATCCAAAACAAAAAAAAAAAAAAAAAAAAAAAAAAAAAAAAAAAATAAAAACTCCAAAAATAATGAAAATATTTAGGAAAAGGAACCGTAAACGTCAGTCAGCCAAGTGTCAGATTTCAATTAGCTTTACCACAGATTATTAATTTGAACGATTTGAACTACAATCGATTCCAGTCTAGATATTTTCGTTTTTTATTTTTTTGTAATTGTCCTATTAATTCGCGTATGTAAGTTTTAATGAATAAAGTACCAAAGAATTACTTTTCTGTTTTTCTTGATAAAAGCAGTAAATACTATTATATATTATTTTATACTTTTTGGTATTTAAACAAAGCATATCACACCAACCGTCAAACCACTATCTTTTGGAAACAGGTACGTTAAGCTCAATACCAGCCCTCTTGCGGGCTTATCACTGATCGCTCTTTATTTAAAATCTGAGCCAGACAGGTACAGGAAACCCTAATATAAGGCAAAAGAGCATTTTAAATTTGCTTCGACTTATTTTTTTAAAAAATACAGAGGTTGCGTTTGAAATAACGAAGATTTAAGCAATAACAGAACATAATACACGCAAATTCCTACAACCAATTTTTTAAAGTCAGCTTCATAA